GGCCAACCTGATACTGCGGTATAGCTTCCCGTTCCAGCCTCGTAATGACTCTGACCGGCTCCTCCATGATACCTAGATGGCGCTTCAGTAGTGCCTTTGCCCTACATATGCCTTCTTCTTCCGTTGGCAATCTCGAGAGGGACGACCAATGATGTCCACCAAGCATAACACAAATTCGGGTTCCTGGTGTGTTGTCTTGATTTACTATCTTGTCCGAGTCGAAGATGACACCGAGTGCGTTCTCTGGATTCTGATCATGGCTGAGTGTTTGGGGCAGCAAGTAACCGAAACCTCGATGAGGATGGTTCAGATTTGCTGTAGCGTAATAGAGAGCTACGGTCATGACTGGGACATGATTCATTGTCGAAAAATTCGGGTGCGCGCGAAATTGTCCTCTCTCGAGAAGGCCCATCGTTATTGGAAGTGAGGTCGTTGAGATGATGTGGCTAAACGGATAGCCATTCGCGGCAGGTTGAGCCCGCACAGGATCAGTGGGTGAATTCTCTCTTCGATGTTGGGTATGGATTCCATTTCCTGTCCTCGATATCGAGGTCACAGCAACGTCCTTGACGACATCGACGTTCTTCATGCAGTGTATTGTCTCTGCCAGGCGTTCTGTAAGCTGCGCTACCCCATTTGCGAAACTGAAAAGACTTGCATCCAGGAACAGTCGCCTCTCGAGTTCGCCTGCAGGACCCTTCCTAATCGTCTGGAGCCAGGAGTTCTCACTTGCTCTCCATGGCTCAATCGGCATATCAGCATCGAATCTAAAGGGCAATCTACCGTCTAACGCCCATAAGCCTGGCATCAAGGCACGAGCACTGAGTTTATAGAGATCTCCGGCGAAGAGGCCATGGATGACGGCCGAACCAAGATTATCCGCAGCGCTCTTGCCGAAGCGTCTGGTTAAGAGGCCACCGATAGAGTCATCTTCCTCATGCTCTTCTGGTCTATGCGCGAAGAGCCCACGACATATTCCGGAAAGCAGGCCTTGAAAGACAGGCTCGGTGCCTAGGAGCTTGAGCAATGCCCATGTGCGATGCAGTGTGAGTCTATCCGGAGCTGGGATGTTGACAATTGACTTGGACAGATTGGCGACAGGAATGGGTACGAGGTGATCGGGGTAGTAGATGTAGCGTTTGGACGCCATCGGGTCCGAATTTGGCGTGAACACAAGCTCGCACTCTAAGCCGAGCTCTCGTATCTCCAATGAGAGGTTGGTATCTGTCAAAGGACTTCGGCGTTGTACTTACGAGATCAATCATGACTATGCAACGGGGTGCATTGGCTCGCAACGTCCTGGGACCCATCTCGCACACTGTAGTTCCTCCATTGTCCAATTGAACGAAGCGGGAATCGATGAGCCCACCAAGCCGATTCGAGCGTTCGAAAAGTGTAACGTTGGCATGCGGGTATCGTTTGGCAGTGTAGTAGCAAGCTGCAAGTCCCGTGATACCGCCCCCAATTATCGCTACTCTTGATGGTCCGCTCGTCCACATCTGTGAGGTAATTGAACCACTGTGGTAATTGTGAATGGACTGAAATGAGAATGCTCGCCGGAGTGAGTGAATCCCATGCCTCGAAGTTTGAGCAACAAGGTTTCGTGGTATACAGGAAGTAAACGTCATGATTGACAGGTAGAAGATAGTAATGATCTTAACAAGTAGCTTTAAGAACATAGTCAAGGCACTTGGTCATGCCCAATACCCCGTGCAAGGAAGGAAATCGTTCATTCAAGGTTCGTACAACTACCGATATAATCCATGCTGCATACTTGTAGACTATGCTGGACATGATCGACCGATGAGGTAGTGCGTAATTGCCAAAAAGAGGGCCAGTGATACCATGCAACTCACCTGAAGTGCAAGCTTTTGGAAGATCGCATCACGAGCCAGCTTGAAGGGGACGCATACATCACCCCACAACTCTCAAGATTGGGACGTTCGATCGTAACAAAGTGAAGGAGATCGATACAAGATAGGGTGTCCTAGTTCAGAGCTTGTCCATTGCAACGTGAAAGTGAAACGTTTCAGGGAAGACTGCAGCTTGCCGTCGGGCACGGCTCCACAAAGATCTACGCATTTGGTAGGCCATCCCAACCGACAGTTAAGAGGGAAAGGAACAACGGACAGCGACCTCCTAACTGAACATTACTTCCGATCGGATAGGGTACAAGCACTTTAGTATACAGAAGTCCCACTAACTTTCAGTTCTTTGCCGGCCAGCTCCCCAATCCTGACGTGATCCTGATGGATAAGTACACAGAGATACTGTAAACAAGGCTCTCGAGGGTTCCCAATGATAGTTCGGTGGTATGATGAGTTGCCCATGCGGAGGTGGTCCTACTTCGGTCACTGTAGAACAGAGGTTCGGATCGAGTGTTTTGTCGTACCACGACAAGAACGCCGAGAGTGTATATGTTCACCCGGAGGTAACGCTGTCCTGGAGTCCAAAGGGTACCGCAAAGAGACGGAGAGCTTGCAGACTTGACCATCTTCGCTTGGGCTAAGGTACCAAAGTATTCAGTGAATCTCGATCACCTTCGTCCGACAATATAGGAATGGCAGTGTGGGGATGCGTGCGACAGCAACTACACCGTTGATTCGATTAAGAAGGTTTTGACATGCGTCCACAATTGCAATTAGGTCCAGATACCCCGCTGAGTCCGTCGAATATTCGAAGAGAGTCGTCATACGTTGTACGTGACGGGAGACACATTGTATCAGTCAACTAGCGCACGTATTGGAGTTGATCCGATAGGACGTGAAAGACTAAATCTGTATATTATGCGAGAATCCAATCGCACGTGAATACATACGCCACAAGCATAGGTGTCGCATGGTCTTTTCTGGCTTTGGGGTTTCCATAAGATAATCCGAGAACAGGAAGTGCCTTAAGTGCCCAGCGGCAGTTGTTCAAGCCGGCCCAAGCAATCGTCGTTACCTGCTATCACACATACAGATTCACCATGTCGAAGTACTATGGACATTTAGTGCTTCAGCACCAGGACTTCGTAGCCAAACAGGAGCATGCAGGCTAGATTGCGTAGAGTTGTCCTTGATCTGAAAATTCTGGTATCGCACTCGTTGCAGAATGTGGATACATTGCAACATGAATCCGATCTCGTGCGCCTCTACGAAAAAAGTCAGCATGTATAAAAGCAGGCGACGGGTCCGGTTTTGCTCAGCATTGACTGGCCAGTCTTTACCAAAATTGCGACTACTTCTTTGCCCAGAATGTATGCCTTGCTGATCGTCTCTGCTCTTCTTGTCACTGGCACAAATGCCAGGCTGATGCCTCGAGCCCTTCAGACTCTTGAGATTCCTCTGCCTACGCAAGCTAAGCCGTTCACCAGTACTGTCCCTGGGTGTGGAACAGTTGCGCCTTTTGTAGTCGTCGGTGTGACTACTGGCACATTTCGTACGTCTCCTTCAAGAACGTGGGAAGTACTTGAGCTGACTGCCCTAGAACCTGGCGATTTCACGATCTATCTGCCTCCACAGGCGTCCGCTACTGGTACAACCATCGTTGATCCTGGTACCAATGCCACTGAGATCTTGACTTGCATTCCGTTGCAAGGCGACTGTGCCGACTTTCCTTTTCCTCCAGCTCCGACAGAGACGGCTTCGAGTGGGTTGACTGGCGTCCCGAGTCCGACTCCTACCCCTGACGCTTGTCCATCAAACGGCTGCAGTGCAAAGGTCATCAAAACTGCACAAACGATCATCGACCTGCTGAACAAAGTTACGCTGCTATCGCAGACTCTCCAGATTCCAGCAAAACTGGTTGGAGCCTCAGCATCAAAGAGAGACGACGCTGCCATCCAGTCACCTATTGACGACATCGCGAAGGGCTTGAGGGGTATCTCTGTGGAGATTACCGTCGCCCTACCGAGGATCGCCTACTTGCCACCTATTCCGCCGGGGTGCGACTCAGACACCGTCGTGATCGCGCTTATCCAGTTCGTCAAAGTCCATCAAGCATTGCTTAACATTTTGATCGGCCGTGCTGGTCTCCTTCAGAACAGCCCTATCCTCAAGGAGAGAGACGAAACCGGCGCGTTGCAGGTCATCAAGCGAGATCCTGCCAAGGACGAGGAGAGTGCATTGATCGGTGCTGCTGTTGCTGGAGCTCTCCGTGTCGTTGAAAGCGCTGTCGACACCATCGCCTTCAAGCTCATTTCCCTCATTCCCACTCGTAGCGAATGCGCGAAGCAACAGAAGGAGGCTGTCGATGGTAGCCTCAAAGACGCGATTGCGGCATACGACGCTGCGTAAGAGGGATATTCAGAACGCAAGCGAAGCCCCTGCGGTACTGTACGGCATCCTGCGGAGGGGAGGTGTGAGGGAGAACAAGGTTGTCGTTGGTGGATGGAGTCGGTCAGAGAGTTCACTCTTTCCTCTTTTCCTGCTCTTTCTCTCCTTTCTCTCTTCAGACTCTGGACGTTCCTTACCAAATCAAGCTCAATAGTCGTGCGCTCCGATAAGCGAAACAATCAAGTTGATCATTTTCATCTCTGCTTGCCATGTGACAAAGCTTGCTACTTGCTTGTAATTTGGGGAGCTCCGAGACGTAGAAGCAGGCTCGTCGCTCGCACTTCTCTTTAAGACTTGAATGCCAACAGACCGCCCGGGACAAAGTCCTATGGTAGCACTGCGGGAAGTCACGACCATTTGCATGGATCGCGGCGTTGAGGTCCCGAAATCTGTATTGACCGCTTGCGCGGGGAAAACAGCCCTTATTGATCAAGACCTTCCTTATGCGTTCGAGATATTCCTAGAGACTTAGGATAACAGTTGATACGCAAGAAGGGTAGTACAACATCAATGACTTTGGGTTGACATGAGTGTTAGTGGACAAGTAGCGCAGACGCCATCATGGTCCTTTTAGAACTCGCTTCCGACCCAAGAGATTGATTGAGCCATCCACCGCACGTGCACCAGGCCTCTCAGCTTTAGTGTATATAGCTATCGAATTGAGAAATTCCATCATCAGTAATAGCATCTATGGTCCAGCGGTAGGATATTTGCCTTCCATTATCGGCGAGCAAATGGCTCGGGTTCGACTCCCGGTGGATGCAAAGTATAGGTGGAGTTGAGTTCATCTTTTTGCATTTTTTTCACGATTTAATTTTCAACCTTCCCAAAACATTGGTTCTATTTTTGTTCGACAAGCCCTTTTCTTGTCTAAATCATTTGTGGCGCTACGAAGAGTGCTGCAAATGGCATATGCAATGTTGACTGGTGCTCGGAGCCTCCGATGCCGTGGACGCGAAACACGAATGCAACAGTTGTCCATCTCTCTTGCCTCTCTACAAGAGCGAGCGTCTTCAGCCCCATCAATCCAACCCAAGCTAATCGAACAGCTATCTGTCTCTTTTATGAACTTCCATCTGTCTTTTCGCGATTGGCACGAAACCAACAGCCCCGCATGTTTCGTTTCAAGACAGTGTTGCGGTGCAGGCTTCCTTGCGGCACAGGCATGTTTCGCACTCAACCTAGAGTGCGCACTGTCCTGAATGACGGTGTTGGCGTGATATTCCTCCCTCAACCGGTGACACAAGAGCCTTGGTCCCAAGGCAGCGAAGGACTGTTGATTGGCCTTGTGCAGCCCTTTTATCGAACATCGGAGTCCGTTGGGTTCTGGCTCTCGGCTGGATGCGCTGTCGTGGCAGCCCTGGAGTCGATGGCCCCGCCACCTGCACCTTTAGACTGTGACCCGCAGCCTGAGTCGGTGAACGCTCTGTGGGCAGGCCACTCTCGCCCGCCGTTTGTGTGTCGGCCCCAGGCAGCGATGGACTTGATTGGATGAGGCCACTCTGTGCACACCGACACCCTTTCGGGAGGGATATGCGCCAAGGAGTGGGACTGTGACTTCTTTTGTCCTCCATGTTGGTATGGGATGGATACATAAGCCCTGAAGGAGGCACATTGATGATGAGCCGCATATCTGTCCACTAACAGGATTCCTTCAATCCTGACTATTTGAACACCTCACTGCCCGCCGCCTGATTCCCATCCATTGCAATCCTCGACACCTCTAAGCCCTGGAGCTTCTCGTCCTCGCATCTGCATACCCCGCTATCAACAATTGTTCCACACTGCCCACTTGAGCAAACATGCCGTCTTCACAATCGCATTTCCAGCCCCCGCCACCCATCCGAACGAATACTTTTGGCTCTCAGAAGTCGGTATCGTCAGGAGCAATGTCTCCAGACGTGGTATCGCCAAGTTCAACCTTCTCCCGTGGTGGACGCTCCGTCGCTTCGCCAACTGAGGAGTCATTCTTCGGAGCCATTGCAACTCGAGTGCGCAACGCCCGCTCACGAAGCCGCTCTCGACATGCAGGCTCCCGTACCCGGTCCAAGTCTCCATATCAGATGCCACCTGAGCATTTCCCTTCGACGTCATCAGGCCAACCCACTTCTCCAACCTATGCATCGGCGAGGCCTCAACAGCCGCGACACGCATCTAGCGCATGCCGGACTTCCACATCCTCATCCTCAAGTAAAGCTCAGCGGCCGAGCATTGAGGGGATTCAGCGACGAAGCACCAGCGGCAGCGACATGTGGCGTGGACGCCATTCGAATTCCTGGCTATTCAACGACTTCTCGGTGACGGGGACAGCGAACAAAGTCCTCCATATCGGGCAACGAAAGGGTTAATCGGGGCATCTACGGCAGGAAAGTCTGCGACCTTCCTGCACCCGTCGAGCCAGATTGCTGCTGGAAGGCATCTACACTTCTCGAAGAAGTGTCCGGTGGCTCGACCACGAAGAACGACGAAATCTAACGCTAATGATGGGTCGAAATAATGGAGCGCATTAGATTGTCTATCGCTGGTACGAGATGGAGCCCGCCATGATGCAGGGCTCCAGTGAGACTGTCTTTGGAAACCGGGTTACGGCGCACGTCTTGTTTCTGTCATTACTATACCATGTATATTAACATACAAACCTGGCCGTAGTATGCTAGTAGAATATCCTTGCCTCAGCATGAGAACACATTCATGTCTTTGCAAATCAAGCCTGATTCAGTCGTTGACAGTATCAATCCTCTGCTTCTGATCGTGATTGTGCGCAATGCCGCGATAGGAACGACCGATAGGAGCTCGGCGATCATCTAGCCCTGCATCGAAGGACAAGTTCCAGGAAGTCTTTCCTGCAGGAATAATTCATCGTAAGATGGAGGAATGAAGTCTAGTAGATAGCCGTTTCTATTCCGTCCTCCAGCACTGCCCCCTTACTAATGATCCCGATGCGGCGGTCGTTCCCACCCGCCAAACCCACGCGTCGCATACAGGAGTACCTGCTTGTCCTCGTCCTTCAGCGCTTGCTGCGCTGGTCGCAATCGCCATCGCTGTAACCAATCGACTCCGATGCCGACTCCGATCCCTATTCCTGGAGTCCTCTAGGCATATATATGTCCTGCGGGAATGGAGGAATAATGGGCCATCGACGCACACATTGTTCCTTCAGGACTTGATGGCAGGCGCGAAGGACTAGCAACCCCACTCCGAAGCTACCCCTCCACCCACTCCGAACAGCGAAGACGGATGCCAGACGGCAACACGATCACGATGAAGCACGTCCAGGCGACCCTGCCTGTCCCAGACTCGACGCATTCCTTCTGGCACAGCGAGCCCAACAAGTTTCTGATCGGCCATCGCTCGACCGAGGATCTGCCTGCAGAAGCTGATATCGTCATCGTTGGAACTGGCATTACTGGTACATCAGTGGCAAGGTTTCTTGCTGAAGATGAGAGGGCCGATGAGAAGAGTATAGTGGTTTTGGAAGCTAGGGAGGCGTGTTGGGGAGCTACTGGAAGGGTAAGCTGAGCGTTCTTATACCGCATTACGAGTGCTGAAGGGCTTCAATCCGTTGGACAAGATCGCACCTATGCGGTGTTTAGAGGTCGAAGCGCTCCCAGACCTTAATGCAATTTGATATCTGTACCCCATCTCCGGGGGTCGCCTCTATGTTGGCGTACTCGCTCCTTGAACATTGTGGCTTCACGCCCTACGAACTAATCTAACTTGAGCACACAGAACGGCGGCCACTGCCAACCCCTGCTCTTCGATCGCGGTCCCGAAGTAGCCTCCTTCGAGCTCAAGAACGTCCATACTGTCCAATCTTATATCGAGAAACACGATGTCCCTTGCGAATGGCGAAGTGTCTCGGGCTGTCGTACGTTCTGGTCCGAGGATCTGTTAGAGGAAGCCGAGAAGGAGATTGCACATCTGCACAAGATCTCACCTGAGGTTGCCTCACGTGTAACAGTCATCAAGGACAAAGATGAGTTGAAGAAACATCGCGTGAGCCCAGACTGCACCGGTGTGACACTCACGGAGGGTGCGGGCAGTCTCTGGCCATACAAGCTGGTCACATACATATTGGAGAAGCTAGTCACAGAGAAGAGGATCAATCTGCAGACCAAGACGCCAGTCACATCGATCACATCTTCCGACGGCAAGAACACACTGCATACCGACCGCGGAACCATAACTTCGAACACAGTCATCCTCGCGACGAATGCCTACACCTCTGCGCTTCTCCCTCAATTTGCCGACCTGATTGTCCCCGTCCGAGGCGAAATGTCCGCCCTCTTCCCACCCGCGAATTCCACGATCCTCCCAGACTCGTACGGCATGGTAGGAGCTTTGGATCAGCCAGCCAATAACGATGACTATCTGATCCAGCGACCATACGCCGGAGTACCCAACCCTGCGGGGCACTTGATGTTTGGTGGCGGCCGCGGAGCTGGAGACAAAGATAGCATGGGGACTTGCGACGACAGTGTTATTGATGAGGGCTCAGCTGCTTATCTCCGGAGCGCGCTGCTAAAGGTGCTCGATCTTGATGGTGATACAAAAGGTTTGAAGGAGTTGAAAGCTGCCGGTCAATGGACAGGAATCATGGGGTACTCGAGGGATGATCACCCATGGGTCGGCAAGGTGCCAGACAGGGAAGGTCTATGGCTGAGCGGGGGATATACAGGACATGGTATGCCGAATGGAACCTTATGTGGGAAGGCAGTGGTTGACATGGTTCTTGCCGAGGAGGCTGGTGAAGAGTTGTCCGCTTTCCAAGCCAAGATGGTGAAGGATGGAGACCTGCCTGAGAGCTATATCCTCAGCAAGGAGAGAATACAGAACGCCAGAGCCAAATTCTTGACAGTTGCAGAGCAGGATGCGAAGGGCGTGCATATGAATGGCGTCGTGTAAGCTCCTACAATCAAGTGTTTACCTAGTTAGACGTTGTCTCGCCCATGTCCTAGCATGGACTATTTAGATACATTGAATCATGGAAGATTACATTGTTCCTCCTTGAACTATGGTATTATATCCGTAGATATTCGAAAACGGAAGCAACACACGCGTCTGTCCCGGCCGTGGAGTTCCGTGAAGATTGGGTAAGTTCTCACGCATTGCTCGAAATAGGTCAAGCGCAGTAGGCACCCTGCATAGGCGCGGGATACGCAGATGGCGACTCCCCGTTCTCGGGGCATTCCCAACAAGCAATGTGTATATAGGCCATGAGGCGCGAGCTGGCTTTGAAACTAAAATATTTCATATTGGTGGTTCCTTCCCACTTGTTCTTTGTTCTCTTCCATTATTGGCGCCGGATAGGATACCTATCTAGGTTGCATTGGAGAAGATCGAACACCCAAGCCGGAGTGGCTCGATTGACTCATTCACCCAACATGGCTTCAGCAACACCGCCAACGAATATCGGCGTTCTCCTCTTTCCTGGCTTCCAACTACTCGACATCTGCGGCCCGCTCGATGCCTTGAACACCCTCTCAAAGCAAGTCCCACTTCACCTGTCTATTCTGGCATCAACGCTGGATCCAGTATCAACCTCCCATAATCAGGGAGGCAAGACCACTCAAGGAGGTCCAGCTTTTCCAGACTCCAACTTCAGCCAGAGTATTGTTCCGACACACACCTTCAAAGACGCGCCGAAAGACTTGGAAGTCCTAATCATCCCAGGCGGGTTTGGAACGAGAGATGAAGCGAATATTGCGCCCATCATCGAGTTCACCAAAAGTGCGTGGGCAGAGGGAAATTTGAAGTACATCCT